ACCAAAAATGCTGGTTAAACTTGAAGATATTCAAATTTGATAAAATTTCAGATTTTTTTTCTTTGCTATTTACAGATAAAATTATGTAATTGTTGTTTGGCATCCGTGATCGTTTCTTACGAGATGTTCTATAAATTATTATTATTGATACTTCACAAAAATCATCTTAATTGGACACAAATCTATAGACATATTCAACTTGTCAACTACCAAAATTAAATTTGGGATTATTCTAACTCCAGTTTCATCAAACTTGATAGTCAAATTGAACATTTCAGAGAGTCGAACCCAACGACACTAAAAATAAGTATAATCATGATCCAAATGAGTCCAAATGAGTGGCTTGAAACATATTTGAAAGCTCTGAAACATTAATTGGATGACTAAATATTATCAAAATATAGCATGCTTATAGTCGAATCAAACGACTCAACAGAATCAATTCAACAAGCCCAAGATAGTTGTTGCTCATAATATAAAAAAACAATAAAAAAGTAAATCAGAATTTTTAAGCTATTGCTCATACTTAGTATGTCGAATGCTAAGCGCATATCAATTGACTAGATTATCATCATTTAAATATCAATCTATAGAATTATAGGTTGGCATATATTGTGAAGCAGATTTTTAACAAAGGCAACAATAATCATATTGTCATTGCTTATTACTTGTGTTAATATAAATCATGTGCTTCATTGTACCTACTTAAATTGGAGCTCTAACCTCATACAACTTACTATATTAGGACCCCCTATTGAATAACTTTATGTAAGTGCCACAATTTCTACCTTCATTTTTTAAAAAATTCTTATGTTATAACAAGCTAGGAAGAATATCATGAAGAAGAAGAATATAACAAGGAAGAAGAAGAAGCTCGTCAACGACAAAGAAGAGTACATCAATTCACAGCAGGATCATACACAATCCGCAATGATATAGTAAAGGGCAATAACTTGTCTTATAATAAAATTTAGGAGGAACGACATACATTTAATTTTAACAAATAATTTATGCAAGAATTACTCTTATGTAATTTCACTTCTTGATCACAATAATATTATCAGTATCTATCACTCTTCTTATATAAATAGATTTTAACTTTTTTATTTTAAAACTTAAAATGTATTTAGAATATCATGAAGAAGAAGAATATAACAAGGAAGAAGAAGAAGCTCGTCAACGACAGAGAAGAGCACATCAATAAACAGCAGGATCATACGTAATCCGCAATGACATTGTAAAGTGCAATAACTTATCTTATAATAGATTTTAGAAGAATAGATTTTAACTTTTTTATTTTATGACATAAAATGTATTTAGGATTAAATTGATTAATTTCTTTTTCATTTCATCAAAATTTAATAAAATTATAACTTCTTGTTCAAATTTAAATTTATTAACAATTTAAAAAATTTTATATAAAAATTGATTTAAAAAATTAAAATTCATTAAATTATCATGCTTATAAAATATAATTCAAACTAATAAATTTAATATATATCTGAATTTTAAATTTAAAAATTATTTTTTAATTTTCTTCCAAATTACAAATTATTTATATTTTATTTTATTAAAAATATGTTTTTATCAGTGAGGACTGTATTTACGACTTAAAATTTTAAAATAGGAAATATTTTCCAGTTGAAAATAATCTCTGTTAGCTATTAGCTTTTAGTTGCCGGTAAATATTCAAAATGATATTTTTTTGGATTTGCTTTCCAAATATATCTCAGCTTAAATTACAGAGACGCGTAATTTGCTTTAAATAAGAGCATCGTTCCACTACCTCGCTACAGAAGTAATAATTTCTGAAAGAGGAGAGAGTGCTTTGTGAAACCGCACACCGTAAGATGACTACTTGCTGCCCTGCCTCCAACAACACTACGGGGAAGGGGAAGCTTTAATCTTCGTTCTTTCACGGCCACGTTTCCTCCTGGTGGCCACGAAGGCAGTTTGACGGTGAATTTAGCCGGGCCAGACGGTCAGATTGTGGGTGGGGTGGTGGCGGGGCCGGTGGTGGCTGCTGGAACGGTGATTGTGCTGGCAGCAACCTTCGCCTCTTCGGCATTTCACCGCTTTGGTGCTGTAAATAATACATCGGCCTCGTTGTCGCCCATAGTCGAAGGCGAAGAAGGATGTGGGAAAAGTCGGCGGCGGAGAAATCGGATCGAGACATGAAGAAGAACTGTTTAGAGCAAATAGATCAGTTTCTTGACTTGCCGCCGGAAATGGACTGTGTTTTTATCGGCGACGGCGCTTCACCGGAGAAAACAAGGCTGGGCGGCGGAGGGGAGGAGGTGGATGGAAATATGTTTGAAAATTATCTAAAAGACTTAGAGCACTACCTTGAGGTGCCGGCAGATGTTTGTGGTGCTTTCAATTGTGGTTGTGGCGGAGTAGAGGAGACGACAGCATGGCTCGATGGAGACTGCGGAGGAGATTGTTTTCAGGTTGAAGAGTATTTTGACTTACAGATGGTGGTTGATGATGCATTTTGGAGGCAGCCGTGATGGTTGCGGCGAGCATTTAGCCTTTGATGCGTTTAGGGTTTCTGGCGCCTGCCTTTCTCTATACTGATTGGCGCCTCAAATTTGAACTCTCTTTGATTGTATAATAATGATCTAGAATTGTAGAGTCTACAAATGCTGGATAGCAGAATAGCAGGTTTTCCTCTTATTTTCTAAAAACAATTGCAAGAATTGTATTGAAGTAGATTGTGAACAATGTTTTGATTTCTGCAACATAATTGTAGGAAGGATGTATGAGTATTTATTAAAAAAACTTAGTACCTCAAAGATATATAATTATCTAATAATAAGCATCACCTTGTTGATGTTAAATTCAAATTTATTTATAGATAATAGATGACATCAGAATTTTTGTGGCAATCGAGAGAACAATCTGTTTGGAAAAATTTGTAGTACAAATGCCCATGAGACTCAAAATCTTAATGACTCTAAGCATATACTACCCTAAACATGTATTGCCTCATAACTGGCTCCGTCTCCCAATTCCGCCTCCTTTTCCCTCCAGTGCACTAGCTCTCGCTCCTCCATGCCACCTCCTTACTACGGGACTTTCGCATATCCAGCTTTACCACCCGTCTCTCCTCTTCGTGGTTCTTTGTATTCGAAGAAACAATGTCTACGAAGTGCCCAGCAGATGCGGCCGAGGTGTCTCCAATAATGGATTTCAGATCTATGGAGGAGGCATGGTACTCTGTTCGTCTTCGATATGAATGCGATAAACTTTTGGTAATGTATTGTGATTTCTCCTAGGAATCCGACGAGATATACTCCATCGAAGGATTCGCCAACATCGTCGCAGTTGCAAGACATGTATGTCGATGCAAGACAAGAGCTACGATGTGAGATAAGAACTGCTATGCGGGCCAAAATCGACGGCGATAAACTTTTGAAAATGATTTCAGCCGTACTCGTCGCAGTTGCAGGACAAGAACTGCGATGCGGTAGTCAAGGTATATCTATGAAGCAATAAATTCTTTGTTTTAGGATTTTAATGAAGGAAATTGGGGTTTGGCTACTTATTTTCTTTTTCTATTCATTTCATTAACAAATGCGGATGGTGGGTTTTGGTTTGAAACTGAGCACAATAATAAAGTTAAGAATTTGAAAATAAGCAAATCTTTTATGTTAGATTCAACCTCTGTTCTTTAATCTCATTTTTTTCCTTTAAACTTTACGGAAGAAATTGATATTTTGAGAGATTATGATGTTTTACAGATTGTTTTTTTTTTTTTCAAACGCGAGATGTATCCTGACTTCGGAGAGGAAACCTTCACCAGTTGCCAGACTATTGCCGTCTGAGTTGCTTCTCATAAAGGCCGTTTTAACTCTTCTCTCTTATATCCTTCGCTCTCCTTCCATGTAAACTGATCACAGCTGTAATGTTTTTCACCTCTTTCTTGTTCTTATTTGTAGTTGTGCGTTGTTGTATTTGTGTTTGTGTTTTGTTTCCTTGAATGTGAAATATCTTTTTAATCTATCAAATGAAAAGTTTGTGTTGTTTGATCCACTGTTTCTATTGTTCTTGTAATATATATATATATATATATTCTAGAAACTTCCTTCTTGCTTTGAAACTTTTGTGCATGTTCTGACAGTTACTGTTGTTTTGTCTTTTTCTCCAAAAATATGAAATGGATCGGATACTTCGTCCCAGTGGTTATGCGGATGCAAAGAGGTTTAAAATAATACCATTTTTTTTTTTTGGAGTAAAATAATAAAATTTGTAAACAAATATTTATCTTGTGTTCTAAGTTCCAGCATACATGCCACTCTCCATCAAAGAATCACCTTTTCCAAACGCTTAATCCAAGTTTTGCTTAATATACACAAAGCTACAGATTAACAGCAGAAAAAAATAAAATAAAATACAACCACGATGAGCTGAAGTGAAAAATGCCTATATTTTCTCAAGTTCCTCACTAATTTTTTAAAAAATTGGAAATTGTAGGCTCTGCCAACGGATTTTGAAAACAAATAGAGCAATTTCACAGACAAGGAACTCTGTTCACCATTACAGGCCAGAAGGGAAGCTGGTAATTTGCCCTTGTTCCAGCAGATCTTGGTTATTCACTTTTAAGCCATCGTTACACGCATTGCAAGCGGTTTCTGCCCGTGTTGGCTATTAGTGACAGATAAGGTTGCTGCTAGCAGGATCTAGGTGCAACTGAATAAACTTTGCAACAGCAGCTTGAAAAATGAAATCTGTATACTCATTTGATGATTTATTTGTAAAGGTAGCTTTGATCTGTGTATCATGCTGCCTTCCAGGCAGTTTTGTGAAGCTGAACGCAATCTTTAATGAATTGCTCTCAAAAGCGGTTATGGCTGGAAAATCTGGCTTTTCACTACCTGAAACAGATACATGATTTGATAAACCATCCAGTAAATCTATTATTGGAGCAGTGGACGGTAGTGATCTGATTATTTGTTCAATCCCTCTCAGAGGATCTATGGTCAATGCTTCAGAAGATGGGGACGAAGATGTAGAAATTCAAGATGAAAATTGATCCAGAGCAACTGCTGAAGAATTTGCCACACTGCTCGAGACACTATTTGGTGGTGATGAATCATTCGGAATAGGAGAGCCAATCGATAAAAGATCCATTAAAATATCTGAGCCTCCAGAGAAAGCAGCACCTGATGGCACAGGGGTCCCCAAATCAATGCCCAATAGGTCCTGCAGAAAATCGCTGGTTGATGACTTAGTAGCAGGGACATCATTGGAGCTCAAATCAAGCAAATCCCCCATAGATGCCGCTGGTGGCTTCGTCACTCCATTCTGAAGATTTAGTGAAGTCCCTGAAAGGTTTGCCTTGCTGGGTTTGACAGCAGGAACATATGTTGAAGAGCCATCTTTCCTTCCTACATAAGTTGATTCATCCAAAACAGGCATCCTTTCAACAAAAGAAGATTGGATGTTTTTGTGCTTCTGTATGATATTATTAAATTCAATGTATCTTTGTTGTAATTCTAGCTCAAAGTTACCTTTGTGCTGTATAATAAGCTCTCTTATCCTCCTGCAAGAAATACATAATAGTTGAGAAGTTCAAGCCCCTTTTCATGTGGGAAGATAGATTTTGAGAATGATATCACCAGTAAATAAGGAGAAGACATAGGGAGAGTTCGAAGTGCTTCATTGGATGGCCCATACTGATTCCCGCGATCATGTCATCATTTAATTAAGTACCTTTATGATATCAAAAATAAGCTATCTTGGGCTTGTTAAATACATCTAATTGAGACGCTTGATTTGACAATAAGCATGTTATAAATGGATAGTATTTGGTCATCCAATAAATGCTTCAGAGCTTTCAAATATGTTTCAAGCCACTGATTCGGACCTATTTGGACATTGATTTGACTAATTTTAGTGTTGTTGGGCTCGTCTCACTGAGACAATCAATTTGACTATTAGTTTTTTGAAATTTGAGTTCAAATAATCCCAAATTTAATTTTGGAAGTTTACAATTTGAATATGTCTAAAGATTTGTGCCCAATTAAGACAATTTTTTTTGAAGTATCAGTAATAATAATAATAATTTATAGAACCTCTCGTAAGCAACAATCATGGATGGCAAGTAGTCTAGCTTGTCAGAATATGGTTTATCTAAAATACTTTTTATAGAAGAGTTGTTAAAATTACCGAAAATTAACTAAGAGCTATTGGCTAGACAGCCACTACATATAGATGTTCAAATGTCATAAGATTTGAATGTAACTACATTAAGTAGAAATGACATAATTTTGTTAGTAAATAGTAAAAAAATTCTGAAATTTTATCAGATTCGAAGATCTTGAAGTTTATAATCACTACACATATTTGTTTTACTGGTATAACTTTATAGGAAGACAACAAATTTTGGAAGATTTCTATGCCTGTGTCACAGGAAAAAATTTGGAAAGCTGTTAGTTAAGTTACATAGTAGATAATCTTTGATAGATAATCAATAAGCATCCATCAATGATAATTATAAAAAATAGAAGAAGATTTACAAAACATTCTTCACCACAATGTTCTAAAAATATTTGCTAAATTTTATTATGTTGCATAAGTGTTTTTTACAGAAATCAAAATAATGTTCACAATCAACATGAATACAATTCTGCCCTCCAGTATTTGTGGACTCTACAATTCCGAATCATTATTATCCAATCAGAGAGAGTTTGAATTTGAGGTGCCAATCAGTATAGAGGAAGGCATGCGCCAGAAACCCTAAACGCATCCAACGCAAATTGCTCGCCGCAACCATCACGGCTGCCTCCAAATGCTTCGTCAACCATCATCTCTAAGTCAAGATACTCCTCAACATTAAAAGAATCTCCTTCACCCTCCCCTCCACTATCTCCATCGAGCCCAGATGACATCTCCTCTACTCCGCCACCAACGCAATTGAAAGCACCGCCAGCATCCACCGGCACCTCGAGGCAATGCTCTAACTCTTTTTATAGATAATAGATGAGACCCAATCTTATTTGCAGACAAGTTCTGAGTGAGACGACCTAAGAATTTATGTAACAATTGAGAGAACAATCTGTTCGAGAAAATTTGTAGTACAAATGCCCAAGAGACTAAAAATCTTAATGAGTCCACCAACGACAAATGCTCGTTTCACATTTTATTTATAGATGTCCATGTGCGATGGGAAAGACTACATAATGAAAAATTAAAATATAATTAAAAATAAATATCAATTTAATGACTCTTAGTATATATTGTCCTAAACATGTATTGCCTCATAGCTGACTAAGTCAAGAAGACGTTGTATGAATTTGAAAATCTATTTACGGGTGACTTCAGTAATGCTAAATAGGTTCAGCCGAGTGCGTATATGCGAGCCCATTGGCAAGTACTGAGCCGATCGAGGGAGCCCTTGGTTAGTAATTAAGCATGTTCCGGTTATCAAAAACCCATTATGGAACCTCGACTCACCTTAGGAGAGGGAGGCAAATAAATCATCAGTAATGCTAAGTAGGTTCAGCCGAGTTGCGAGCCCATTGGTGAGTACTGAGCCGAACGAGAGAGCCTAGGACTAGTAATTAAGCATGTTGCAGTTATTGAAAACCTATACTTGCACCTCGAGACTCATGTTAGGATGAATTTTAAAATTTATTTAAAACTTTTAAACTTTAAAGATGAAAAAATATACTTAAAAGCTTAATTAAATAATTTTAAAATTGAAATTTATACAAATCAAAATTTTCAAAATCTCTCTAAGTTATTGTCTTCATAACTCAAGAGAATCAATTATATGTTTTCTTTTGATAAATTGATTCAATTAATCGTAACTCTACTAGGAATTCAACAACTCCGCTTAGAGTTTTATCAGTAAAGATTGTCAAGATATAAATGTAAAATAAGGTAGAAGTTTTTTTTTAAGTTAATCTTCACTGTAGGGTTTTTTTATTATTCATAATTTTTATTTTTATTTTTTTTGCAACGCTATTAGAGACATGAAAACGGGACCACGACCTCGACCACAATAACATTGTCAACAAAATCCCCAATCCTCTACCTCAATCACCACAAACTCCAAAAGCGAACCCCACCTCATACCCCTTTGCCCTACCCTGCGAGAAATTCACCCCCCAGCATAAGTTCGACGCCCTAACCTCATCGATAGCCTTCACGATCTCCGCCGCTTGCTTCCCCTTCCGTGACTTCGCAATCAGAAACCACATCGCCGATCCCGGTGACGGGACGATCTCGCTGTCTAAATCGGTGACCCAATCGACAGCGAAGATGTCTTCGATGATCGGGGCGTTCTGGTGGACGACAACGAGGTGGGAGGGATGGACTGTGTAGGCCGCGAGATCGGGTTTGGATAAGAAGCGGCTGTGTAGGAAGTTAGTGAAATCGGCGGCGGTGGATGGGACCGGCGGCGAGGTGAGAGACGAACTGAAGGGAGGAAAGCGAGCGATGGGAGGAGACCATGGCGTCGATCTTTGAGGCGTCGGTGGAGTCGCGGACTTTGAAGAGGACGCAGACTCCGAAAATGCGACAGGCACGAGCAAAGGCCGTGATGGTTTCTGCGACGTCACCGCCAGCGTGGATTTTGAGTACGTGCGGCAAGCAGTTGGCACCGGAATCTTCGGCTTATTCTTCGACCCTGGCTGGCGGTGGCGCTTCCTCTTCGCCGTAGCGTTGTTCGAGCCAGGGCAGCAAGTACTCATCTTACTGTGTGCGGTTTCGCAAAGCTCTCTCTCCTCTTTCAGAAATGATTACTTCTGTAGCGAGGTAGTGGAACGATGCCCTTATTTAAAGCAAAAAAAATTAATTTTATATAACTTGTGCTTCGGAAGAAAATTAAAAAAAAAATTAAGTTTAAAATTTAGATTTATATTAAATTTATTAGTTTTAATTATATTTTATAATTATGATAATTTAATGAATTTTAGTTTTTTAATCAAAATTTTATATAAAAAATTAAAATTATTAGTAAATTTAAATTTGAACAAGAAGTTATAATTTTATTAAATTTCATTGAAATAATAAAGAAATTAAAGAATTTAATTCTAAATACATTTTAAGTTAGAAAATTAAAAAGTTAAAAGCTCTCTCTCTCTCTCTCTATATATATATATATAAATATAAGAAGAGTCATAGATACCCGTAAAATTATTTCGATCAAGAAGTGAAATTACATAAGAGTAATTCTTGCATAAGTTATTAGTTAAAATTAATTGTATGTTGTTCCTCCTAAAATCTATTCTAAGACAAGTTGTAGAATGTTGGAGCCCCAATTTAAGTAAGTACAATGAAGCACGTACATGATCTAACACAAATAAAAAACTATGTCAATATGATTATTGTTACCTTTGTTAACAATCGTCTTCACAGCATATGCCAACGTATAATTTCATAGATTGATATTTGAATGATGATAATCTAGTCAATTGATATGCACTTAGCCTTCAACTGTTTAACATCCACTCGCTAGACAAATGGCTCTTTTGGCTCAACATCTATGTGTAGTTAATTGGTAAATAGTCTAATAATATAGATATTGTTATATGACGTCATTTTAATTTGTCTTCATAATATTTATTTTAAGAGAAAACTAACTTCTATCTTATTTCACAATTTTACCCGATAATCCTTTTTTCTTAAAACTGTAAGCTAAGTTGTTGTAGTAAAAAACAGAGATAAGATTAATTGATCCTTCTTATGAAAAAGAGGACACATGATTTATTCTCTTTTATTACATGTACAAAAACTTATACAAAGATTTTAAGATTTTGTATTTTGATGATTTTAAAGTTTAAAATTCTTTAATTAAGTTTTTAAAATAAACACTTAGTGAGAAAAGCATAAATAATGATTTGAAAATGGGTGAAAAAGGAATTAATAATACATATGTGATTGGTTTTATTTTAAACAATATCTCAAATGTCAAAAAAAAAAAAAAATGCGTTTAGGGTTTCCTGCGCCTGCCTTCCTCTATACTGATTGGCGCCTCAAATTCGAACTCTCTCTTATTGTATAATAATGATTTAGAATATTTGAGTCCACAAATGCTGGATAGGAGAATAGCATAGTTCACTCTATTTTTTAAAAAATAATTGCAATAATTGAATTGATGTAGATTGTGAACATTATTTTGATTTCTGTAATGAACACTTCTGCAACATGATATTGTTGGTACATTGTGGTGAATAATGCGTTATAAATCGTCTTCTTTTCTATAATTTTCATTGATGGATGCTTTCTTATTCATATTCTAATTTAAACTTTGCACCATGTTTCTTACTTTAATTTTGTCGATTATATTTTGATAGGAAGGATGTGCGAGTATTTATTAAACAAATTTGTACCTCAAAGATAATTATCTGCTTGAGAAAATTTGTAGCACAAATGCTCAAGAGACTCAAAATCTTAATGAGTCCACCAACAACAATGGCTCCTTTCACCTAGTGCGCATATGCGAGGCCATTGACGA